ATCATGACCTGAGCTGAAGGCAGAGGCTTAACCCACTGAGCCACCCAGGTCCCCCACTCCCAGAATTTCTAATTCCAGAGGGCTGGATGAGGCCTGAGAATTTCCTTTTTTTTTTTTTTTTAAGGAGAATTTCCATTTTTAACATGTTCCCAAGGTGATGTGGATGCTTCTGGTCTTGGTAATTTTGAGCATCACTGTTACAATTAACTTCCTGACCAGGGTATTATGACACATAAGTGTGCTGAGCTATTGTTCCCCTCTTTAATGGCATGATGTGCAGAGGCAAGAGCAGCAGGAGACCAAGCTGGTGATCTTATAATCACATCCATTTACTCCAGTGTGCTCTATACAAATACCACTTTTTTTTTTTTTTTTAAATGTATTCCCTTGACATTAAAGAGCTGGAAATCACTGAGAAAAATGTAAGTTGGTGGCTAATAACATGGGGTTTTGGACTCTCTGAGACCCTCTTAGAAAGTTACTTAATACTTTTGAGCCTCAGTTTCCTTATCTATAAAATAAAGATAACACCTTAAAGCTATACTGTCCAGTAAGTTTCTGAGATGATGGAAATATTTTATCTGTGCTGTCCAGAAGAACCACTAGTCACAGTAGCTTTTCAGCATTTGAAATATGAATAAGGCAACTGAGGGATTTATTCAATTTTAGTTAACCTAAATTTAAAGAGCCATGTGTTGATAATCATAAGCAAAAAATAGCAGAGTAAGGACCTCTGAAAATCATCTCCTCTATGGAAGTAATGAGAACCTAGGAAAAATGGTCCAAATCAACTTTTTTAGAACTCTGGAAATTAACCAGAGGCTGTTATAGGTAGTATTCACTCAAGGAAAACAATTGAATCTTCATCAGAACAGTGAACATTCTGTAGCCTTGCACCCATCACCCTCTCTCCTGCTCTGTGGTTGACCTGAAAATCAACAAGCAACAACCATAGTGAAAACTAGCCTGGCAGCCACTGCAAGGTATAAAATGTGGTTAGAGCTCCTTACAAGCCCCATTCACAAAGAACTATCATTATTTGATCTGCCTGGTACTTCCCTGGAAAATCATACAAGTAAGGCTGTTTTGACGTGACTTGGGGATCTGCCTTAGGCAAACCCTAAGAAATGTTTGTCAAAAAACAATCAGAGGGAATCGTTTAACACTGCAGCTGCCTGAAGCAATAGATAACAATGTGCTCCCTGTATTCTGAAATTTCACAATGATGTACCTCAGTATGGCTTTATTTTCACCTAGTTTGCTGGGTTTTTGTTTACTCCTTACCTGGAAAGGTAAACCCTTCAGTTCTGGGGAAATTTCTTAAACTATATTGTCGACAATTTCTTTTCTCCTGTTTTCTCAATTTCCCAAATTCCTATTACCTGGAGTTTAGATTGATATGCTGATTTTCTTGTGTTTTTTCTCCTATTATCTATTTCTATTGTTTTGCTCTACTCTGAGAGATTACCTTATTTCATCTTACAACTTTTTTATGGAGTTCAAATTGTTTTTTGTTTTTATTGTTCAAAAGTTCTTTATTTTGAATTTCTTTTTTAAAACAGCTTATTCTTGTAGATACATATCTCTTATTTCTGTGGATACTAACTATGTAATTATTGTATCTGTTTAACTTGTTTCCTTATTTTAGTCTTCCTCTTCACCCACATTTCTAGGGGTACCAGGTGCAAACAATTCTGGGCCTACTTAGGATTCTGAAGTGCAGTAGTTCTCAGTATGGTCCCTGGTATCAGCATCCCTTGTGAACTTAGAAATCCAAATCCTCGGGCCCTATCCCAGACTTACTTAATTAGAAGCTCTCACCCAACAATGTGTGTTTTAATAAATTCTCTAGGTGTTTCTGATGAATTAGTGTAAACTGGGTTGATTCTTGGCATTCCCCAACTACTTGCTTAGGAGGGGGCTTTCTTGGGTCTATTAAGTCAGTTATTTCTTTTATCTATCTCCTTTCTAGTTTGCCAAATTTATGTTATTATTTCCTCTCCAGTTTTCCCCATCTATGCAGACATACATACACATACACAGACACAGATGTGGATGGATATATGGCTATAAACATATATACATTTAGAAATCCCTTTATTGTAGTTTGAGAGGCTTCAGGAAAAAGTACATTTAGATATAGGAGTTCATTTGCCATCATTATCAGGAAGTCTGTTTGCATTCATTCTTCAAGCTTTTTCACTCCCAATAAAAATGCAATTGTTAATCAATAACTATTACTAAATCCAAAGGATAGTCCAGTTCTCATCTCATTAGACCTATCAGCAGCTTTAACTTATTTATTTCCACTTGGAAATACTTTAATTTCTTAGATTCTGGAATACCTGTTTGTTTTTTGCCTGACTTCTAAAGTTGGAGTTCCTCAAAACAGACTCTTTAGATGTTTTTTTCCATTCCGATAGCACTACACACTGTATCTCTTAACTTGACCTTTCTTTTGAACTATAGACTCATATCTAAAGCTCACAAGACATGTTTACTGGCTATTTTATGTACATGTGATAATGAACATGTCGAAAACAACCCTTGAGCCCTTGCCTAAATCCTGCTTTGTATTTTCTCCCTGCCTAATAAATGATATGCATTTCCATACACTCAGTTTCTTAGGTGAGAAACTTCAGAATCAACCCCCACATCTAAGCCAATAGTCAATTTTGTTAATGTTACCTCTAGAATATTTCTCAGTCAGTACATTTTTCTCCATCCACATCAGTCCAAGCCATGATTTCTTGTCTAGACCTCTGCAATAGTTTACTTGCCTCCATTCTTGCACCCTCCAATCCCTCTCCACAAAAGGCCCAGAATAATCTTTTAAAAAGGTAAATCCCATCATATCACTCTCCACTTAAAAGCCTTCATTGGCTATTCATTGTACTTAGACTTAAAAACTATACTCATAATATGGTCTATCAGAATTGGCTGATCTGGTTGTCTGAGCTCTTTCCCTCTTACTTATTATTATATTCCAGTGAAACTTAACTTCTTTTTAGGTCCTTTTAAAGAACTGAAGATTTTTAGGACCTTTGCACATGCTGTTCTCTTCACTTGGAAAACTCCTCCACTCCTCTACTTGAGTAACTCTTACCTTTTGGTTTAATTGCACCTGGCTCACACATAAACTATGTCCCACTAGTTACTCTATCTTATAGTACCTTGTTCTTTTGTTTCATAACACTTAAGGCCATATGGATTTTAAATGTATTTGTCTATATGCTTAACATCTGTGCCCTCCATTAAACTAAGTGCTTCAGGCAGTAGATTTCATAATAGTTTTGTCTGCAATTATATAGCCCAAATACTTTAAATATAGTGCCTGGCATAGAGCAAGTACACAAAAAATACTTGCTGAATGAAAGGAAGAAAAGAATGGACCTGTCTGAAGTCTCAAAACAAGTTAGTGGCAAAGCCAAGATTCAAAATCAAGTCTTCCCTTTCAGATCTTTAAATTATTTCATTTTTAAAATTACTCCATACTTTCTACATAAGATGCCTTTTTTCTAAGTGCTTTTGATACACTTTAATATATGCTCTACTATATACAATTTAATTCTATGTAACATCCTGAATATTTATTAATGCTTATCCTATTAGCATTTTGTTTAAAAGATTTTATTTATTTATTTGACACAGAGAGAGAGAGAGAGAGAGAGAGAGACAGGGAAGGCAGGAACACAAGCAGGGGGAGCAGGAGAGGGAGAAGCAGGCCTTCAGCTGAGCAGGGAGCCCAGTGGGATGTGATATGGGGGCTGGATCTCAGGACCCTGGAATCATGACCTGAGGTGAAAGCAGAGGCTTAAAGACTTAAAGCACTTCTGTATTATTTAACAAAAGATTTTTATCTTTGAAAATAAAATCAATATTTTAAATAAAATACTTAGTGTGGCTTTCACAAAACAACATTTACCAAATAAGAGATTTCAAAAATGGTATGTCAGGATAATTTTATCTTAATAATTTTTTCTTAGGTAAAATAAATTAATTTTAAGGGGGAAAATTGTGATTAATATGATTTTTAACTTCAAATACAAAATATTAACTTCAAGAATTACCAAGTCTGGGGCACCTGGGTGACTCAGTCAGCCATTGTGGGATGGAGATGCCAAGGGTAGGGCTCCCTGCTCACCAGGGAGTCTGCTTCTCTTCCTCTCCCTCTGCTCCCTCCTACTTCATGTATGTGCACATGCTTTCTTTCTCTCAAATAAATAAATAAATCTTAAAAAAAAAAAAAGAATCACTAAGTCTGACTGACTCAATATTCTAGCTGTGTGAATTTGAGCAAGGCATTGAATCTTAGTCTGTAGAGGCTATGTCTTACCTGACCACAATTTCATGCCTGCCTTTTACTTTCTTTATAGCTTAAGCATTTAGAATTCTCTATCACAATAAAAATTAATTCAACAAAAGTTTATTGACGGTCTATTCTGTTCCTTGGAATGTAGCTTTTATTTTAGTGGAAGAAGACAGATATCAAACAAGTGAATATACAAACAAGATGATTTCAAGATGCTGAGGGCTTTTAAAGTTGGGGAGAGAATAGGGGAGATGAGATACTTCAGTCCGTCAGAAAAGGTCTCTCAGAGGTATCTTTTGGGGTAAGATATGAATGTCAAGAAACCAGCCAAGAGAATATTTGGGAAAAGGCACTCCAGGTTAAGCAGTGTTTTTCAAACTGCAGGCCCTGATCTACTTGTGGAACACAAAATCAATTAAGTGGGTTGGGGCCGTACCGAAAAAATACTAGAATGCATCACAAGAAATCAGACTTTTGTCTTAGTTATACATATATTTGCCCATGTATGTATGTGTGTGTACATCCATCCATACATATGTATGTATGCATGCCTACCCGGGTCACAATGTTTAGTGTAGTTTTTACTATAATTAGGTCAAGAAAATTTGAAAGCCACTGAGGTGGAGGAACCAGCCAGTTTGAAGGCCTCATGGACTGGAGAGCTTTGTGAGTCATAGGGAGAAAGAAAGCCAGCATGGCGGAAGTGCGCACTGGGGAGGAGAGGTATAAAATGAGGTAGGAAATGTATATAATTTTCCTACATATAACCTCTGGCCAGTATCTTATTCTGGACTGCCACCTCTGTTCTCTAATGGTTCATCATTAAGAAACAACAAGGCAGAATTATCTCCCTGCTTTAATGTCACTTTGTAAACTGTTATTAAAAGAAGTTAGCAGTTACACTAATATGACTGTGAAATTAACCTCTAAGAATGTATTTAGAGTGACAATGTATTACTTGAATAATTAAAAAGTGAAAAGTTCATGAACCCTGGGGGAGCCCTCTGGTTCTTTTCAGATTCTTACTATAATGAAAAACTTTTAAAGTCAGTTAGTAGTATTTAATTTTGCAAATCTTTTGGATGTAAATGCAAAAAGAAATAGTATGAAGAGACCACTTAAGTCAAATGTAGAGAAAAAAGTAAGCAGCTGGAGACTGTGGATGTGGCTCTTCCACTAACCAGCTAAGTGTCCTCCCAACTTATTTAACTTTCTGGGCCCTCAGATTCCTTATGTGTGAAAAAGAAGGAAGAGCAGATGTTCAGTAAGGTCACTTCACACTGTAAAATTTTATGGTTCTACGCTTAGATCATTTACTGTTTTAAACGATGCAAAAACTAACCTGGTTGTTTTATCAGAACTTTTTAAAGAAGAAGTTACATGATAAACAGTGAAGCTAATGTCCTTAACTTTACAGTCGGTGTCACAGTGTTTGGAGAACCAGATGAAAAAGTCCAAGTTATCTCTGAAAGTTTCTGTCTTACTTAGGTTGACCTGCACTTTGGAACTGTGTGGATTCCTCCTATCACGGGATCAGTATCTCGATAAATAACAAACTTCCCGAAAAGAAAGTTTAAACCTCAAATCATGTGTAACTAAAGCTGGACAACAACCCTCGGGACAAGGTAAATGAAAAGTGAGTTGGCAACACAACTCACCTACAAGTTCTCCAATCATGAAAAGCAAGTAAAGAACGGCAGCAATGGTCAATCTGGTTTTCACCTTTCTCTGCTTCAGTAACTCTCGCTGTCTGCTGCAGTTGTCACAGGGGTCCACCTTCAGACTCAGCTGACTGTTGGTCAAAGGTAAGTCCTGGTCCAGTAAGGAATCGTCGTCGGCCTGCAGGGCCGGGTGCGCCCCGTTAACAGGCCTTTCTGGGATTTCAGAACCATCGTCGGCCACCACAACTCGGAGTTTGTTAAACCGAGGAAGCCCCTCGTCCCCCACCTCGTCCGAGAAGTCGAAGGCGCTGGTGTCATTTAGAAACAGCGGCGCGTCGTCCTTCCGTAGCAGAGATTTGAGGCGCTTCCACGCGCCGAATCCGGCCATGGCAGAGGCTGAGCGGCCGCCGCACGGAACGGCTCGGTGCAGGCGGCCGGCCGGCGGCTCCCGCGGCCCCTACTTCACCGGAGCGCCAGTTCCCGATGGCACTGCCGCGCGTCCCTCCCCATGCTGTGGAAAACGAAACACGTTATAAATTAAAGGCGCCCCAACACTGCCCCCAAGTTCCGAAGCCCCGGGCGGCGGGGGCGCAGTCTGGCCGGGAGGCTCCGGGGCTCCGCGAGGGGGCGGCGCGTCTACCTGGGGCGCTGCCGCGGGGCCGCCGCTCATCTCCCCGCCCCCGGCCGGCTCGGCGGGGCCGACTCGCACAGCTCGGGTCGGGGCCGCGCGGGGAGCGGCGCAGTCCTCGTGCCGGCCGCGCCCGCAGCTCCAGGCCGGCTACCCGGGTCTGACAGGTTCGGGGCCGGGTGCCGGGGGCCACCGCCTCTCCCCGCCCTGCGCGAGGCCGCGCGCGTGCGCCGGAGCGGCCGCAGGCGAGGAGCGCGAAGGAGGGGTCGGCAGGAGCACACGCAGGCCCGCTGCGCAGGGCTGCGGCGCCCGCGAGGGGAGGGGCAGGGGCGCGCGCGCCGCAGCCCCCGCCCGTCCCTCCAGTCCCGGCAGCGGAGCCCCGCGCGCCTGCTTCTGCCCGAGGGGCACTCACAGGGATGCCCCTGTCTCCCGCGCAGCCTTGCCACCTCCCCAGGCGGAGAAGCAGGAGCGGATGAAGGGGGGCCTGCGGACCAAGTGGGTAGATTCGAATGGTCCCGCCCGCCCGGGGCTGGGCGTTGCTGCCGGAGCTCGCTCGCTCCACCCGAGGAGGGCCTCTGGAATCTTGGGTCAGGACCTCGGTTGCGGATCCGCAGCAGAAAACGATTTTAGCGCATTCTTGACAAGTGAGAAACCAACCGGCTTTCTCTCCTCGAGTTGCTGCTTCTCTGGCAAGTTGGCAAAATTTGCTGCACCGTCAAGTCAACTTCGAGAGGGCAAGGCCCTCTCAAGGTCGTCAGCAATTCCAACTCCTTTGTATTTACGATTGCTTTTCATCAGATATGTGTTGTCCTGTGTGTGTTCGCTGCCATGTTCCTTTCCCCTCCATTTATAACATGGACTAAACCCAAGCACAAAATCTAGTAGGGGTTTCCGTGTTGGCCTTTGGTTCTATTAACAACAACAAATTTAGAAGAACTGAGTTCTGAGTAGTAGTTGCTCATTTAGATCTAAGCTGTAATGGTGAAATGGAATGGCAATAAGCCTCCCCACTCCTCTTCTCCCTTGAAGTCTTAAGAGATTCTTAATCCAGATTCCTTGGATAGTTTTAGGGGCTTCTGGAGGCCTTAAACTCATGTGCAAAATATTGTGGCTTATATGTATTTTCTTGAATTAAGTCCCTTAGCTTTTATCATATTCTCAAAAGGGTTTAAGACTCAAATTTTAAGATTTAAAACAGCAACACTGTCGGGGGAACTCATAGAGGAAGTCCCTAGCTAACACTTGGAGTTGAATTGTAGTTACCCTGTGTTAATAGATGTTGTATTTTGACAGTAGTCTACATGGATTACCAAGTTTCAGGTTACAGAATACACAATAAAAAGTCACATGGAGCATCCTTTTCCTCTGAAGATTCAGACGGTACTGTAGAATCTTGCATCCCACGGGTGCCAGAGCATCAAATGTTTTTGGACTCCCCAGCAATCCTTCAGTCTTGAATGCGCCCCATACTCCTACAGAGCTGCAGCCATGGGAGTCAGATCAGGAAACCTGGATGAGAGATGCCATGGTTCCCAAGACCAAGGAGGGCAGCCTTGCCTAGGATATTCAATAACCAGAGAGCTCAGGTCATTATCAGCTGAAGGGACAGTGCTTACTAAGCCTTGCTTTCCTAACCCCAAATATCTTAATCCATCCAACTCAGGAGTAAATTATTTTTATTTTTCATTTCAGTTTGTTTCATTGGCTGAAATTCTGCTAATGAGAAATACACATAAAGCAAATATGTCAGGAATGTGATTGCTCTTTATTATAAATTGTTCAAATAAAATTCCATTCAAGGAAAGGGGATAGACGTTTTCAAGAAAAGTTGAGGCAGAACATGGATTGTTTTGGATACTTACGGCAAGCTTTGTTGGGAAGGGCTGCAGTTCTGCCTCCCAATTTATTTTTACTATTTTATATCACTGGATGTCTAAACAAAGTGATAGGAGATAAAAAACTGGATAGTGGTTTTAATGTATATCCACAAATTCTGATACTCGTCCGATCCAGAAATAGAGCTTAATCTCCCTCCCACCAAATGTGAGCTTCTCTTAATGAATACCATGTGGCCTAGAATGAATAGAATATGACAATAGTGACAATGTATGACTTAAAAGACTAGGTCATAAAAGGCACTGCAGCTACCTGCTTGTTCTCTCTTGGATCAGCTGTGCTGAGGAAGTCAGGGTTACCATGTCACAGGGAACTCAGCAGCCCCAAAGAAAAGCCCAGGTGATAAGAAATGGAGAGCTCCTGCCAAGAGCCATGTGAATGAGCCACATTGGAAGTAGATCCACCAGCCCCAGTTAAACCTTCAGATTGTAGCCCAGGAGATGTTGACTGAAACCCCAGAGAGATCCTGAACAGAACCAGCCAACTAAGCTGCTCCCAGATGACCCACAGAGACTGTGAGATATTATTTATTGTTTTAATATAGTAAGTTTAGGGATAATTTGTTACAGAGCAATAGAAAACTAATACACTCAATCTCAACTTGCCTCTGTACCAGGAAAGACACTTTTTATTTTATCCCATGGGCCCTTGTTCCTAGGCTTGGCCTTGAGCTAGTGGCATGATTTCTAGCATTGAACTTTAAAATGGGCTGAATAGACTTCTGTGAATAGTCTTGGCATGTAACCACCATTTGCAACCTTATTTCTATGTATTCAAAGTTTATGACAATAGACAAATGAACTTTTGAAACATAATCATTTATAATCTGGTCCTGCCTACAATTCAGCTATTGCTCAGCATGCCATTCTTTTATGAGACTTCATAGTTCTTTCCAGTACGGAGAACTTTTCTGCATGAGCAAATAGATAAAGTTGCTAACCATTTGTCCCGTCTCTTAACCAGGTAACTCATAATACACAAATTGTTTAGGTAATAGTAGATGTCTGACGTTTAAAAGACACTTACCTCTGGCAGTCAACTAGAGTAGCCCCACAATATCCCATGTCAAAACCTGTTTTCTGGCCCAGACATTTTTCAGAACAAATGACAAGGCTGAAAATAATACCATATCTAACATTTACTTGAGGCTTTTTTATGTGCCAAGCACCTCTGCAAGAGACCTGATTTATATCGGCTCATTTAATCCTTAGACCATCACTATGAGGAAGTTAATGATTCAAAGCACGGGTCTTGAAGTCTGACTGCATGTGTGTGCGTGCTGGTTTCACCTTTTGGTCCTATAATCTCTGGCAAACCATTTAAGCAATTTGTGCTTCAATTTTTTTTACCTATAAAAGGGGCTTGATGAGAGTACCCACTTCCCAGGGCTATGGTAAGGATTCAGTGAGATCATGCACGTAAAGCATGTAAAACAGCATATACAGAAATGCCTGGGTGGCTCAGTCAGTTTGCTTTCAGCTCAGGTCATGATCCCAGGGTCCTGGGATGGAGTCCTGCATCTGGCTCCCTGCTCAGCAGGGAACCTGCTTCTCCCTCTCCCTCTGCCTGCCGCTCTCCCTGCTTGTGCTCACTCGCTCTCTCACTCTCTCTCTCTCTGACAAATAAATAAATAAAATATTTTTTTAAAAAACAACATAACATATATGGTTCCTGGCACATAGTAAGTGATCCATCAATGCCAACTATTAATATTTTTAAAGTAGAGGGACACCTGGGTGGCTCAGTTGAGTAAGTATCTGCCTTTGGCTCAAGTCATGATCCCAGAGAACCTGCTTCTTCCCCCTCCTCCCCACTCATGCTCTCAACCATTAGCCTACATTATCCTCTCAGTCTGTTTCCACACACAAATGGAATGATCTACGGAAATGTACTTAGACTCCTTGAAGTACTCTAGAAGAAATTCCCATTCCACACACCAAAGATTTGCCATCACCTCCAGACTTCAGCATCACCCTGTAAAATCCTTCTTGGAAAGGAAGGGGGAGGGAGTGGAAAAGTTTTCAAAAATGGAAATATGAGAGGGTGGTGCCTGGGTGGCTCAGTCAGTTAAGGATCTGCCTTCTGCTCAGGTCATGATCCCAGAGTCCCAGGATCAAGCTCTGTGTTGGTTGGGGGGTGGGGGTGGGGGAAAAAAAAAATCTCTGCTCAGCGGGGAGCCTGCCTCTCTCTACCCCTCCTTCCTGCTCTGCTCGCGCGCGCGCGCGCGCGCGCTCTCTCTCTCTCTCTCTCTCTCTCCTTCTCAAATTAAATCTTTAAAAAAAATTTTTTTTAATGAAAATATGGGAAAAGTTGCCACTTAACTGACAGGCTCAAATGTTGCATATTCTTCTTCCTGAGAACTCCTTTCGCCATTGGAATAGGTGCTTGTAGGAGATTCTCAAAGGATGTTTTTGGAATGTGACTCCTCATCTTTTTCAGGAGGGGATGAAAGCTGTAAGCCTCATATGGACAAGGGTTGGTGATGTGACATACAACTACAGGGAGTCTAATAATCTCTTCTTTTTGTGGATTGCTCTGGTAACAGAGAAGCTGGAGATTCTGTTTAACCCCTCTTCCAAGGGGAGGGGAAGAACACAGAGTAGTTAAGAGAATTGTCCAAGGAGAGGGAAGTTTCCTTCTTGGACAAACGTAAAGGAGAGGGCCAAGTCAATGTATCCCACCAGGCAAACCAACATGTGAGCCAAAACCTACGCTAAACAAGTTCATTGTTTTCACACCTTTGTTTTTATCTTCCCTTAGTTTTGGAAGTAAATGCACCT